TTCAGCTTTACTACTTGGCTGATTCATTATGTTTTTAAAAATTTTTTCAAGAGGTTACGCTTCAACCCCATTATAGGTTACATTAAGAACACTTTTTTCCTTGCTGGTTCTCAAGCCTTTGTCACGAATTCCCTTGAAAGCTTCTTCAAGACGCTGATTACGCTGCTCTGGTTTCACTCCAGTTATCAATACATCATCCATATAATAAAATACACCTTATAGGCCCTGAAAAACCTGATGCCATCGTACTCTGAAAAATCGTCGCTGACACAGTTAATCCAAGCGGTAACCTATAAAAGGTATATAACCCATTAGGAGTCGTTATCGTAAACAATTTATGAATTTATTCCTTTAAAGATAGCTGTAAATACGCCAAATTGGAGAAATATTTTTCACCCTTTAAATTTGCCAAAATTTCCTCGCTTCTAGGCAATGGATATTTTACTTCCATCACTCCTGGATTTAAAGTAACCTGAAATCAGCACACGGCCTCAACTTTCCATTAGAATTTTTTCATTGGAACAAATGGTGTAGTGAAGCCCCATTCACCATATTATTCAATTGAAATTATGATTCCATCATTCTCCCATTAGTCTAATTCATCTTCTATTTCCTTTTCCCCATATATTTTTTGACTAAAATAGGTATAGCATTCATTATTAAATTTATTTAACTCATTGATTTTCAAAATTTATCATTTGATTCTTTATCAATTTCCATGTCTATTTTTAGAGCTACTCTGCTATATCATTACTTTTTCTGAATACTCAAAATATGTTCATTCAATAAATTAGACATTTCTCTTTCCTTAGGTCTACTTATTTTCCTTTCAGCATTATCAGCAACTAATTCACTCTCTACGATAAGAAAAAAAAAGATCCCAATAAGTATTACGAGGTCCGCTTTCAGTAAATCCAATCCCACCCCATAATTGTTTCTACATTTTTTTCCCACCGCCCATAAATCCAAACTTATGGTAGTATCGCTGAAAACAGCGTTCTCTTCTCTTCTCTTCTCTTCTCTTCTCTTCTCTTCTCTTCTCTTCTCTTCTCTTCTCTTCTCTTCTCTTCTCTTCTCTTCTCTTCTCTTCTCTTCTCTTCTCTTCTCTTCTCTTCTCTTCTCTTCTCTTCTCTTCTCTTCTCTTCTCTTCTCTTCTCTCTCTTCTCTTCTCTTCTCTTCATTTGGTTTCACCTAAAAAAAAACATTAATTTCGGAGTCATCAAATTGTTTCGCACAAATATTTTGTTTTTCAGTAACGCCATGGCGGCCAATATTTACGAGAATTTTATCTAAGACAATATAGAAATGTGAGGCACCCATATCAAATAACATGTCAAGATACTGCATATGATCGACCCTCGGGACACTGACAATCTTCATTCAATTTTTCCGTCGTTTAAAATTTCATACATTTTTAATCGGCTGATTAATATCTAATATTTCGCAGATAGAATCTAAATTACTGCATACATTCTACTCGGAATTTAGAAGCTTTTTTAGCAATGCCCATAGGATATTTTTCCCATTTTAAAAATTAATATGACCCCCTTTTCATTCGGATTACAATGATATTTAACGTTTTTCACTTTTTGTCATCATGACAATAAATATTTCTATTATGATCACTCACTTTCTTTAGGATATATATAAATTCCGACATTATTTGACATCTCGGCACAATTTAGGGTCACATGTCCAGATTTTTTTTACATTTTAAAACAAAAAACTCGAATCATCATAAGTCTGATTCTTCAAATTGTTTCATGGTAATACCGGAAATTTTTCTCACCTTAGGAGATTTACTAAACGGAAATTCGACACAAAAATCTTTACAATACACGTTTCCGCTTTGTGTTCCCTTATAACCACAACTGTTCTTAACACCAAAAGTTTCTGTCCCTCGAAGAACCAATTTTTTTTACCCATTCGGATCATTTCTGCCACGTATCTGCCTTTAAACTAAATTATTATTCATATTGATCAAGGTTACATTCATCCTGGTATATTAACCTTGATTACATCTGACAGTTCCTTTAATTCCTGGAGTCTAACCACCTATCTCTTCCAAACATTCAGGTTGATCACCGAGATTATCCTTTATCTTTTTAACCACCTTTGGTTTTCATCAGTTTCTATTTCATTTTAAAAACTACATTATTTCATTATTTTATTCCAATAATCAATCGGAAGCCACAGCATCTTACCTCAATTTCATATGATTCCTTTGTCAATACAATCGGTATTACCATTTTTCCGTTCCCTCAGTTTATTGAGCGCCATATCTAAATCGAAGCTAATATTGCCCATTTTACCTAATTTCACATATTTTTTTTTTCTTTATCAAATTTATTACTAATTATGAATGATACGCATCATACATGTCGATGGGGATTCGGAATTTCTCGATTTTAAATCCTTTACCGAGCGCCATTTAATAAGATTTTTAAATCCGACTTAACCGGAAATGAATTCTAGCATGCGTAGAGTATTTACCCTATAAATTTCAGCCAATTTTGCCGCGAACTTTTAGAACTACTTCTAATTTATATTAAATTTTGTATGGATTTTTCATATAAATTAAAAAAAAATACCAAAATGTCTATGGCTGAAATTGGCTGAGATTTCTAGGGTAAATACTCTACACATGCTAACATCCATTTCCGGTTAAATAGGATTGTAAAAAATTTTTTTAAATCGCTATTCCTTAGAACCTTCTTATTAAGAGCTTTAAATTTATATAATTCAAATCTTTTATGGAGTGAAATACTAGGCATTACGTGGCTGGCACTGCGTTGTTAATTTGTCCTTAGAGTTTTGGAGTTTCCTGGATTCGTGTGCCCTACTTAATCCTAACTTCTTAACAATTCTTACTAACTACTTATTAAATATTAAATACCATTTTTAAAAAAATGTTATTTTTTTTTTTATAATTACGCATAAATTTAAATAATTTTTTATGGAAAAATATTAATATTTAATTTTCCGACCAATCAACGATACGCAATACTTTTGATTGACGGATGATCTAAAATATATTTAAAATAACTTTAAAAAAATGACGTAACTGGGACAAAAATGAAATCCATTTTTCTTTCCCCACATAGTATGTGTGTCTTTTAAACCTTTATAATCTAATTTAGCCTTATAATACTAATAATTTACATAATCAGCATCTAATTGTTAATATAACATAACCCTAAGCTTACATGTTTAGCCTTTATAGCTCTTTTTCCCTTCACAATTTTATTTTTTATGCTTATATCACTTTTACAAGCTTGAGATTATGTCCTTGCGCTCCAATGCTAGTGTTGATATATTGTTTAGAAAGAAGGCTAAAATTTATTACTTTCTCTGATTCATCGCTTTAGAATCTATTAAATACTATGCAATTATTATAAGTAAAAAAAAAAAATTTATCTATAAAAATTAGCCAAAGATACTTTTAAAAAATAGTATATAGTATCGCGCCACTTTTCTAAATTAGGATTTAACAACTTTGGTTGTAGGATTTTATTAAGTGAAATATCTTTGAATTTGTATATTCAAAGTTAGCAGTCTAGAAGAAAAGTCCTGCAAAATTGAGCAAAAGTAACAGAAATATCTGCTGTTTTTTATTTTTTTTATAAACTTTAATTTTTACTATATTTAGCCTTTCCCATAAAAAAAAATAAATAAATAATTAGAATGTAAGCTAATTATCATTTCCTTCTAAAACAGGATGTTAACATTTAATTTTTTTTAATCCCTAACTTTGACAGTGCATCACAATCCCAACTTACCTTGTGATTTCCTTTGGTCTTATACACCTATTCTAATAATCCAAGAGACAAAAAAATTAATATTTCATAAAAAATATCTATCCTTATCAATGACATATATAATACCCAAACCGACGATTCATTCATTAAAAGTGTACATCAAATGCAAATCAGCTGAAAACGCCATCTTGGTTACACTAATCATCATTAAATATCTGATGCAAACTTTATGGAAGAATTACCGGAGACTTGTTATAATTAGTACTATATGACTTGAAAGTGATTATTTTATAATTTGATCTCTAATCGTCAGGCGCTTCATCATTAATTTTTTTTCGAATTTCTATTATAGCTTTTGTAAAACACATAGTGGCAACTTTTTATTTATTTTTTTTCTAAAACGAAATACTAGCCCATAATACAGAGTAAAAGGACAGCTGTCTCTGAAGAAGAATATTTGAGGCTGATATTTAAAAAAACTTCATTTAGTTTTAAGTCCTCTAGTTTTTTAAATATATATTGTGAAGGACTCCCACAAAAATTTTAGCAAGAAGTTTTATAATAAAGAATCTTCAGAGAATTATTTGGGGCTAAAAAAAAATTTTTAAGCAATTCGATCTTTTGAAGATCACAAAATTTAAAAAATAAAAATTCTGATTTCCTAGTGAAAGATTATATTTTATATGCGGTAAAAATTTGAAGAAAAAAAAATACTTAAGAGCATTTCCAAACTTCCTGGGGTTTAAATTGAAAATTATACGGTCACCATACCCTATATTGTTTTCTATTCAAATTATTCTCATTCTCTCTTATTCTCCGTACTATCTTCCTATCTTTCGGAAAACTCCGTATTCTTGATTGCCACTTTGTTCCTATAATTTTTCTCTACAAATTCTTCACTTACAACAGTTTTTGTTTCGAGGTAGGTGTGGTACTAAATTCAAAAATAGCCTATCTTTCTTTTTTTTATATTCTATTTGGAGGCTAAGCCTATATAATGGGGTTAAACAAATTTTCGTTTAGAAATATAAGACGCAACAGGGTATACGACGTTGGCGTTTTATTTTATTGTACCCCAAATCAGCCCCTTTTTATAAAGCAGTATATTTATTTTTGTAACCCTTATGATTATTTCAATATGTTATATATATATAATGAATAATACAAAGAACAAGTAATCACTACTGGTTAATTTAGTATAACAAACTATATAACATGATATGAACCCCTTCAAATAATTTTTTTTGTAACCTTATACCAATTCTCCAAATATGCTATAATAAATATAAGAAATGAAAAATCACTGGTAGTTAATTGGTATAATGTATATTATGATCGAACAAATTAATCATCGAATTTCTGTTCATTGGGTTTTCTTGAAGGAGAGATTGACAACCTTAGGTGAGGATCCTACCTATATGTTTTAAATAAATATATTGGAAATGTTTATACAGAAAGAATTTTTTTTTTTTAATTATTAACATTAGCTACTTGGTAAGGGGGGCTTCCAATGAAGCTGATGCAGTTCGGCACGGGCTATGGCTAAAATCCGGGGGGGGGGGTATGAAAATATCGGATCGGTTTTTTTTGAAGAATATCAAATCGGTTTTTTTGAAAATATCGGCGCTGTCCTAATTTTGAGCCCAGAGAGGAAGTTTTCTTTTTTTTAAAAATCCATTTCCGGTATATGGTAATAAGATGATTTTTGAAAATATAAGATTTTACTCCTTATTCAAAAAGAGCTATCATAGAGCTACACTTAATATAACAAAAATTTAAATAATGTTTTTTTTTTCAAGTTAAATTATTTAAAATTAATTTGAGAGTGTATTTTGGAGATTCCTTAAAAAGTGGGCCGAATTGGGAAATTAAAATTTCTGCATTTTTATTAGTCAGTGAATAAACTATTATAATATCTTCAGTTTATTCCACATAGAATTCAACATATGGCTTAAAATGTTAAAGGCTTTATTTAATTTGAATCGGTAGATATTGTAGCATATTTCCTTGTCTCGCGTTATTTATTTATTTTTCCCGTCTGAGCTAATGGAGTATTAAAGTAGGGGGGGGGCAAATTGGCCCCTTCGTTTTAATTTTTCCTTTTCCTCCCAAATAAATTCATTATTTAGCGCATTACATACGCTATAACCTACCGCTAACATTACATTTTTTTATTAAAAAAACCGTTTTATTCGAGAGATTCAGTTTTTTTAGAAGAGATAACGTACAAAATTAGTTTCAAAAAAACAAAATATATTTATTTCCCCCCTCCCCTTCCTTTTTATCCCACAAAAAAAATAAGAAAAATTTAATCGCAATTAATGGAAACAATTGATACTTACGTCGATCGTAATTGGATCCTTATTTCTGTTGTCTATATCCATCTCAATCTTTAGCGTATTGTAGTATCTTCCAATTCCCGTAACATTAAATATGGTTGGAGCATGTCCAGTACCTGATCCAAATTTTCCTTCTAAGAGGTCCTTTATAGAGATAGGGTCACGATTTCCAAACTTTATAGCTAATAATAATAATTTCGAGTCAATTATTTTTTGATTGATAAGAATTTTTTAAAAACAAAGTTATTATGCTAATTACTCATTGGGTGATACGGGGCAATCATAGCGCTCAAAATCCCTTTGCAGTTGCTGATACTTGCAATATTTTTCTCTCCATACGGATATACTTAATATTTTATAATTTTATATATAAATAATAGGTTTTCATGATAATTTTGTTACTGCTTGCTATGGATAGGTCTTGCCCATGATTTATAGCATGATTACTTTGGGTCAATACGCATTTAGCATCTGTACAAAAAGAAAATATTCAAATTTTTTAAATCATACACAGTTACTAATGTAACTAGTTATTAGTTACAGTTACATTTAATATTAACGTTTTTACTTTGAGCTGCTACGATCTTCATTCCCAGGAATGCCAAAATAGTGAAAGTTACGAATTTTAAAGACATCTTTCAAAAAATGAAATTATAATTTTTCGTGAAAAACAAAAATGAAATATAACAAAAAAAAAAGATTTATTTTTTTTAAATTTAAAAAAAGTTTTTTATATAGATGATGGAAAAAAAACGAAAAGCTTTGACGTCGGCGTTGAAAAAAAAATAAATATTAGTCGAGTTGGTTTCCGAGAAATTTAAAAAACAAAAATTTTATAAATGAAAATGAATTTTTTTTAAAAAATAAAATAAATAATATATATTTTCACTTCTCTTTATCCCCCTACACCCCCCCCCCTCTCCATTTTTTTTCGAACTAAAAAAATTTTGCTTTTAAAATTACGAATTCGCAGACAATAGCAATAAGTGAAATTTTAGCGCGTAAAAAAATGCGCAAATAATTGCTAAGACAACTTAATTTTAATTTTTAATAGGCTGCGAAAAGACCTAGTATCTTTTAGGGAATTAGCAATGACATTATGATAAATCTACTAAACTGACGATGTTGCGTTCATTTAAAGTGTAATACGTCAGTGAAAAACAGCTGTGGACGCCATTTTGATTGTCCAGTATCGCCTGATCATCGGGATGATAAGGAAGCAAAGTTATATTTAATAGTAGTTTTTTAACATGAGAATAATTACTATGTAGGTTGCCAAAATGGCGGGACCAGCTGATTTGCATTCAAACGACGCTTTCAAATGCATTATCATGAATGCATCGTCAGTCTGGGTATCATTATATGTCATTGGGAATATTAGATATAATTTTTGCAAAAATTTGACCTTTACATTTACTATAAATTCTTCTAATAAACTTGTATATTTTTTGTCGGTTTCTTCACCTAACCAATGCTATTATTATTTTTTCACGCATTTATTTCTGGGATTCAAATCTAACCGGTATTAACCGTTATTATTGATCAAGCCCGACCCAACTTCTAAACTTTTATCGCTCGGGTCTCAAACGAGCCTCTAAAAATACTGGAGAACCGGATCGAACCTTTCGATATTTTAACTCTTTTACAGATGATTAATAATCAGCTATGACCGATAAATTCTATATTTTTTTTCTATATTGCTATTTGAACGTTGCCCGCTACCGCTACGCAATCTTATCGAAGTGTTCTCGGTTAAAATATTTATTTTTTATACTCCCTTAGTAGATATAATTTGACAGGAGAGAATCCCGATAATATTTTGATTTTATATGCCACTCAAATTTTAAACAATGATTGTTATCCCTATACGTTTATATGAGAGAAAAAAAAATTTGAAGCTGTTTTTAAAGGTTATAACCGAACCGCTATTTTTTACGAACTTAACCCGACTCCTGAACCGTTATAACCTGAACCGTTATACCTGTATTCGTCATTATGCGCTTTTCCTGGTTACCCTAATTTTATTTTGTTATATGATGATTGAATTGGAAAAAAAAATTTTTTAGAAGTAAAAATTATGGTTTTTGGAATATTCTTAAAATTATTTTCGCCAAAAGATAGAAAAATTTTTCCCAATTTTTCTATTTTTTGGAACATATTTTTTTTTCTTAAAAATAAATGTAAGCCTCTTTTTTTTTTTAAAGTTTTGATTTAGAAATTATCCATATAATTACTATGGCTATCCCTTTTAGCCAAAATAAATTTATTTAATATCATGATAATTAATAACAGTTATGAACGTTAATCATAAAAGTGGCCCAGAATTCATATTTTTCCATGGGATGCCATATAAAGATGATTTGCGGGAGCTTTGCTTAGAAGATCTGTGTAGTGTTGTTAAAAAGGCCCTTATTTGGGTCGATTCCTCAAAACTATGGTTGAGCATCGAGGTTTGGCAGATGTCAGATGAGCGCGAAATCTTTAGAAGATCACATAATGTTATGTGATTATGATCTTCACCGGATCGGTTTTTAAACCCGACCCGAATCTGGCTTTTTAAGAACGATGGAACCGCTAACTGCAGGTTCAAAAAAATAATTTACGGGCGGAATGAGCTGGACGCGGCTATATTTTTAAAAAATTAATTGGGCTTAACGGGTGGGTAAAAAAAAACAATTAAAACAAATGGCGGGAGAGTTTAAAAAAAAACCCGCCCATTGCAGACATATTAAGTTGTATATTGGATGGCTTTATTTTCCACTTATTAGATACATACTTACTAGCGCCCTCTTCGCTACTCCTAGTTATGGGTTCTCTAAGTGTGCCGGAAGCTGGACCACATTTCCGGGCGTAGATTTTACGAATTTAGACGCACCGTAAATGATATCTAGAATTAAGCGATTGCACGCATCCCCGTGTAAATGGCCCATAATCAAAAATTACTTTATTTAAAGAATAAGTATAAATAGCTCAAGCTAGAGATATGCAAATCACGGCCTGGTCCATACCCGGGTCGGTTCGGGTCTATTTTTGAAAAATAATGTCGGGCCGGGTTTGGGAAATAAAACCCGAAGCTGATTACTAGCTCAAACTACATCTATATATGTATTTTTTTTAAAATAATTGAAATCAGGCAGATTACGACATGAATCTTTTGTCAAAAATTACTACATTTAAGACCCATATAATCTTATTATACATTGTAACCTATTCTAATTTGGGCACCTTTGTGGCCGAAATTTTTGCCCGACTTAGACAGTTTCTAAATTTATGGGTATAGGCATTTTCTAATACAGTAGTAGTCAATGGGAATTTGATCGAGATTTCAAATTTTTGGTCAAATTTGGGAGTTGCCCGAAATATCGATAGCCTAAATAAGACAAGTTTTAATTATTCATTATCTCCCCAGTAACCATATAATCATTCCTTGAACCTAATGTATTTAACAACCACGAACCTTCTTATTATTTTTTTCCGGGAAAAATTTCCATTCCTAAATGTATCCCATTTTCCAAAAAGATGTATCTAGAATATTCTAAATATCGGTTCCCACTTTAAATAAAATATGCGCCGGGTAAAAATCAAATAAACGATTTCTTTTTTTTAAAAATTAAATTGAGTCAGGGTCTCAAATCAACCCCATCTCTCTACCCTTAAATATTAACAACTTTATAAAGAAGGGAGGGGTCTTCCTTACCACGGAGTTGGATCATTGATTGAGCAATTCTATTCTGGGTTAGGCAAAATAGAAATCTGCAAATTATTTTTTCCCGCTGGCGCCAGATCTTAAGATTTTGGCTCCATATTCCTTACAATAATAATCAATATATCTTTGGAGTTTTATTTAGGTTAAACTGATAAAATCATAAACATATTTAATATAATATTTTATTTTTTTTTAAGGGTCCGCTTTCATCCTATTTTACCATCACCGATCTAAAGCGAAATACGGAAAATTGATTAAAAAGAGTAGCCGCGAAGAATCGAGCATGCGCAATTCCACCTTGAAGCGCTCTAACTTGGATAAAGATGCCGCCAATAAATCAGTATAATCAATAATTTTATTCATGTTTGATAGTTAAAGAGTGACAATGTATAAAATGGGAAAGTAAAGAAAGATTGTAATTGGTTTAGTATCATTAATTCTCCAGAAACATGGATATAATTCTTAACCGTACGAAAAGTCGGTAGTATTAAATTAATAACATTTTCAGGTGGAAAAAAATGTAAATCTCTTATAGAAATAAAACTTTCCAAAGTCTTTTCCTAACCCTAATTCTATCATGTTCCCTGCATTTTTAATTCTATTAGCTCAAAGTTTAAGCTTATGTTAAAAGATAGTAAATAATTTATTTTTTTTCTTTATTTTTGAAAGATTCCTTAAAAAAAATGGCTATTTAAATAATTAAACATAAAATATTATATAATTATTTAAAAACTACCTAGGAATTCATTTTAAAAATTATTTATCTAAAAAACTACCAATGAATCCTATGAAGAAATCAAAAATTAAATTGAAATTCCAGGCACATAAGGAGAGATTAAGATTGAAATTTAGGATTTATTTGAATTTTTTTTAAAAATAAAATTAATTATAACAATTTTATTTTCAGTATATTTTTATAATTATGTTTGTTGCAGTACGACGAAGAGATATCATTGGATAACGACAATTTTTTGAATAGTCTAGAATCATCCAATTTTCCTCACACCTATACCGGAATCCAAATGGAACCACCTTACGCACCTAAGAATTCCAAATTTTGACAATTACTTTTGAGGAATACTTTGGTTCAAATCAGACACTTTTGAATTTAAGGAAGAAAATTATATAATATTTTATATATGTTTATTATATTTATTCGAATAAATTTTTGTAAACTTTTTAAATTTCTTATTAATTTTTTATATTTCAAAAAATTATTATATTTATTTATATATTTTGTAATCATATCAATTTTTTTTAAACATTTACCCCATCAACTCTCTATTATTTTTACAACAGTGTTATTATTTGTAACGCCATTTTCCCGATGTATATTCTCAAAATGTTACGGGTTTTTTTATAGGCTATGTCCTAAACGATTTTTTAAAATTCGGAAAGTTTTAAAACTTTAGCAAATTTAAAAAAAAAATTTTTAATCTAAATTTCTATAGAATTATATTTTGGACATGATATTAAAATAAGCTTTATTCATTTATTTTTTCATTTTATAAAGTTTCCAAAGTTTGCGAATTTAATTTTCGATATTTTGGACACTGCTATGAGATTTTATATTATAGTAAATTTATTTTTATTTTGTATTTAGTATTATTTTAAATTACAAATATTAATCCGTCCCCTTTAGAACCATTGTAAGAGATATATTAAATTATTAGAGCACTTGCAGCTAGTCATATGACCCGTCCACCATTTTTACTTTTCTATATCATTTTTTAAAAGTGTGTAATGAATAGTTATAAAAATGTTATATATATATTTTAAATTCCAAAAAAAAAACGTATTTTACTCGTGCTAATAAAAATTTTGCAAAAAGTTTTAAAGGTAATATATTTTATAAATAATATTTGTACCGTGTATTTTAAATAATTTTATTATATTTTCTTCTTTTTTTTTTCATGCTTTGAATCATTAAAATAAACAAATAAATAAAAGTAAAAATTTAACGTGAATTAGATTAGGGAAGGTTTTAATCGTTGATCAGTCTACGGTTATAACTAGTGTTCTGCATCGGGCTTGATTTTTCGTACCCGGCCCGTGAGTCCTAAAGCCCGGCCCGAAATAGAAATAAATTATTTGTCCGTCCGGCTTGGCCTGAATTTATTTCTATATATAGAGAAATTTATTTTAATATTTTAAGAAAACATATTATCGCCTTGTTTTCTTGCGAGAATTTTTAAAATCTATCTATTTATTTGTAAGATTAAGCCCGCCCCGGTCCTACCGACCCAGTCCTAACACGGAATAAAATTTTTTTTAAAAATAGACCCAGCCTGCTGCAGGTCTCTAGTTGTTACAATGATATTTACACTCATCTGTTGAGAAATATGAATGTTTATAAGAAATTTTAAAATAAAAATAATGATCGAATTGGATACGTATGAGTTACGATGGATTGTCAGAGTCTGGAAGAGGTCATTGGGTTCTCTAAATGGAATAAAGAAAAATGGCTCTCACCATTTTTTGCCATAAGGCCTTCGCGCTACTTTTCCCAGTAGCGATAGCTTTAGCGCGATACTATAGCGGTAACTCGCTACTAATTTAAAAAGTAGTTTCAATTATGTATAATAAAATGCACATAAAAACTGTTAAGATATATTTATAATAAATTTCTAAAATCATGATCATTTTATTTATTTTAATTTTTAAATTTTTATTTAAAAATCTGCATTAAAATCTAGTTTTCAAAATAATTTAAAATGTCGACGATAGAGATTGATATTGAAGATAATTTTGGTACGATCATAGCAACATAGCAATTTCCCTGGAAGATGTTGGCAATATGGCATTTTATTTTCCTGAATTCGCGAAATTAAAGAAATATCAACACAGGGTATAAATTTCATTGTAAGATGTGCCGGAAGGTTTTATCATCAAACATGACTAGTAGCATGAACGAGGAAACATTTAAAAGTATAAATCAAACAAATTTAATTAAATGTGTAGCCCAATCTTTAATCTTTAAAATAAAATTTGAATCAAAGCTGTTGTATCTAGAATACATTTTGAGCTAAAAGTTTATATGAAAGCTTCTGGATATTAAATTTAATACTCACAGCATTGCCCGTTAGTGTTGAACGATTATTTAATCGTATCTTATACTTTCTGATCTTCCCTCTAGACTTGGAAATGACAAACATGAATATGTTATTATTATTGAGATGCGCTAAAAAAAATATACAAATTATTATATATATTTGAAATTTTAGTCGCATATTTTTTATTTGTGGAAATAAGAGATACGTAAAAAATATATTTTTTTTAAAAAAAATTGTAAAGTGCGCTACTTTTTTGAAAGCGGTAGGGATAGCGCGCTACTTTTAAAAGTAGCTTTTAACAAACTGAAGAATATTCATAAATATTTGAAATTATTCCTAATTATTAAACATGTTCTTTGCGGAATTTTTTATTTTAAAAAGTTTTTTTCCACATCTAAAAATCGATTTTTAATCTATTTTTGAAAATATTTTCGAATATTCGATATATTAATTATTCGATTATATTTTCAAAAATAGATTAAAAATCGATTTTTAGATGTGAATTATTCGGTTCGAAAATACGAATTGAATACGAATAATATATTAGATATTTTGGTGGTATAGCATTGCGCATACAGATCTGGGTCCTGGGGTCACACTCGGAAAGACACTTCCTCTGACTTGGTCAGATCCAGACTTTGTTTTTAAATTATTTTATTTTTCTACTATCTTTATTATTTTTATGAATAACCATAAAATTGTTTCTTATAATTCAGTGCTCATGAAAAAAAATTATAGTATAAACATTTTCAAAGAATATTAAAAATCTCCAATTTTATCTCCAAAACTTAAAGCTTTTTTTCTTCTTTACTCAATTCTAAACTAATGACTTTGCAGAAGAAGCCTAATTTATAATTCTTTTGTTATTATATTAATAATAATATTTTAAAAAAATGTAAGGGCTAAGCCAAATTCAATCAATTTTAGAGGAATTGTTTAATAGTGAATATTAAAAACTTTATACATTATCCAAGTAATTAAAGAAAATAGCGTGGACCTAGAGAATAATAGTGTTAAAGGGCCAGATTTTTAAAAACGACTAACCCAATATTTTAGCGAACATTATTACGCAAACCTGCTGCCCATAGCAGATAGAAAGGTTTGAAGATTTACTAACGAGATCATGCTTGTGCAATATTTTTGGCGAAAATATTTGGTTAGCCATTTTTAAGAATCGAATGACTTGAGATCAACCGCAGGAAGCAATCGATAATTATATTCCGGTGTGCGATACGCACAAAGGAATCGATAGATCAATGATTATTTATACTCTGATGTGAGATCGAACATACGAAGGAATTGATAAATTACTCCGATGAGAGATCAATCACTATTGATACTCTGAGAGATCAATTATACATGTTATTCCGATGAGAGATCAATCACAGTAACTCAAGGAAATCTATATTGGTGCTCTGTTGAAAGATAAATCGCTCGAATAAGCAAAAGATATTGATGCTCTGTTTAGGAAAATTACCAGATTATCAAAAAATATCAAATAATTATCAAATTTCGTTTGTTAAGGTATATTTTAATAAAATTGAATTATTTAGGTCATTATTTTTTTTAAAAAAGTCCATAATTGATTTATTACTATCTTTATTGTCACGTATTGGATATTTAGGTTATCTTAAACATTTAATTCGAAATGACATTTTAATTTATGACTTTGATCTTTATATTATGAATGAGGCCTTTCAATTACTTTTTACACTTTATTTGGGTATATTGTTTTAAGCATGTTGTTTTACCTTTGGATTGTATTTTTAATTAACTTTTGTTATTTTGCCTTATTTCACATTATATATATTTTTTGATTTCGCTAAAATAGATTTCAAAAAGATTTGACCGTTTTTACTGTTGCCTTGTCACCATGTTAGTATGATGAGGCAGATATTATATAAAGTTCGCGATATCTTTTGGTTAATGATGCTTATTGCTTATGCATTTTGGTTTCCGACATTTTTTTCCTCCATTTTCACAATAGGAAATATATATATGGATAAATTTATACATAAAATATTAGAAAGTTTATCGTACATAATTAATATACACATCATGCATTATAAAACATATAATAAAATATCCATATATATAATCATTAGTAACTGACAAATATAACACATAATATGTAAATAAAATATTACTATAAATTACTCCTTTACTACAAATGCCACTGAATTTTATTGCCTTTAAGACTGTGTCCTAAACCATTTTTAATTCGTAAAATTTTAAAATTTTAGCAAATTTAAAAATCCTAATGAAATCTTATGTAAAATTTTAAGAATATATATAATTTTCTAGAATTATGTTTTGGACATGTGTTTGTATTTAAAATAGTTTATTAATTCGTTTTCATTAAATTTTAAAAAGTTTACTATTTAATTTTTCTATATTTTGGTCGTAGCTTAATAATATAATGTTAATATAATAAAATCTTTTTTATAATAATACTCTATTAGATTACAATAAAAATGATAATATCATTGGAAATAATAAAAAATTCTACTAAATAAAATATAACTATTTTATAAAACTTTAAGGTCATATGGTTTAGAATAATAACAATAAATGGTTCTGACAAAAACGATACTCATTGAATGATCTACTATGCTTGTGATAAGCTGCAGAGTCGTCACTAGCCTATGCTAACATTATCAATGGTACATTTGGTATAAAAAAATCAAAATCTTGAGAGGGGCTCAAGTCCCTTCCCCCTCTTGACGCTACTGATATGCGTAAACTATTCAACTTTCAATTAATATAATATTTGTAAACATAGCGAGCTAAAACATAGCCCATCTGCTTATTATTTGCTAACATATAATCATTGAAAACTATTTGTGTGATCTTTTTAATTTACCATTGTTGAGGAAATGTAGAAATATTTATATGCTGCAGATTATTCATTATTATTTATATGAAATTATTCTGTATATGGAACATATTTATAATTGACTACTCATCAATTAACTTATATATAATATTATTTAAATAATCATGTCATGATAATTATAAATATAAATTGTAATTAGCAAATATAAATATATAATGGCGTTAATTATACATTTAAATGTTACACGAGGATATTTATAATAACATATGTGATCAACCTTCAATTCAAAAATATTCGAATTTTTAGGTAAAACAATTGTTTAATTAGGTGTATAAATAAATTTATGATAGCAATAAAATCAGGCATATTAAAAAACATTACACTTTCTATATTATATATTTAGGCCGGATAATATAATAATTATAAATCTAAGAATGATGAATGCCTTATTCTTATTTTTATTAATCTGTAGTCACTATCATTTTACCTAAATACATTTTTATATGCTCTAAATCCATATAAATCTTAACCCATCCAAATTTATTCCAAACAAAATCACAATATCTTAATGAGTTCTTTCTAAGCAACTCGATTAACATTAAGTAACTGACAGGGTGTTGTTATTTATTGTGTAGTATTAAAATAAAAAATAATATTTTCAATTTTAAGAACAAAAAGATAAATTTGTTATAAAAAAATTCTTAAAAATGCTACGATATTATAAACAAAGATATGATTGTTAGAGCAAAAAGACCTGCAATTGAATACCTATGTTTTATTTCATTTGTATGATGACTCATTTTCCATTAAAAAAAATTATTTGAATATTAGGAACATGAAATATTCTTATTTTATATTTTCCTCCCTGCAATATTCCTTTTACTTAATCCAAATGGTTATACTTTTCAAATTCTAGAATTTTAACATTTTTTAGGACTTTCATATACTGGCAAACTTAAATATTGAGACTTTTGATGATTAATTGTGAATAAAATACTAGTTATAAAATTAGGTGTAATGCTTATACAAAAGTTGCTCCTATAGGCAGCAAAGATATTTGAATTAAAAAGAAGAACTTATTAAGAATTCATATAAATAACTGACTATTGTTGCTTCCATATCCTCCCTTATTGTCAGATTTCCAAAAAAAAGTAACTGATAATAAAAATATTTAAATCTTACATTACTTCCATTTTTTTATTACTTTATACACTTATTTTCATTTATTTTTGTCATTAAATTGGATTATGCTTTTTATTAATATACACTATATAATATTATATAATATGATTTGGCAAATAATTCTAAGTAATCAATAATTTTTACACATTATCTTTATTCTTCTATCGCTTTAGAATATCTATTTCCCTAGAACATATATCATTTTAAATATACTTTAAAAAAACGACTTGGGCCATTTCCAAACATGTCATGGTGATAGGATAGAAACTTGTTTAGAAAACCACTTTGATAAAAAAAATGACCTGACTGGAAATAGCCTTCCGTTATAACTGAACACGTTGCGTTGAGCACTCTTTTGCCCTCGCTTCTGTGTAACACTATTAATTACTGGTGTATAACATTTACTAGAATTTTACCTAAATATCGCCCAATGTCCTAAAGAGTTGAACCTCGTGGAATTGAGAAACTTTATTTTTTTTTACTTACGATGCCTTGCGGTGAAGTCAACTTCCTTTTCCGGGTTAATTTATTCCTCCCCGCTCCCCTGTCCCCAGCAACTTTTATAAAAAAAAACAGAGCTTTTTAAAGAGTGATTCTAAAATGAAATTTTTATAAATTATTAATTAAGTTTAAAAAAATGGAATAAAATGATAGGAAAATGTTACATCATCTGCCAAGGTCATGAAAAATAAAACCGCACATTAAACTTGTCGATATAAAAATTGATAAAGTGTCAATCATCAGATTTTTATCAAGCCAAACACCCTTCCTACATTTTTGAAAATAAGATTTTTTGGGGGTATTCTCAAATATAACATGTCCAAAAACATGAATAATAAATGGGAAGAAGAAAAATTAAAATAAACTTGTTTTGATAGAAAGAAAGAAAGGAAAGAAAGAAAGAAATATTTTTATTTAATTTATCGGTTATCTTCAATCACTTTAAACAATTTTATCTTTCAAAATTTAGATATTTTTTTCTAAAAATAATATATTTTTTAATTGATTAATTTTTCTATTTTTTATTGATTAAAAAAATAAAATAATTTTTTAAATTAATAATGAACCAATAATAAATTATTTATAAAAATTTATTTTTTTTACCCACAAACTTAATTAACTTAAGGATTCTCATCGACCTTGATCTTGATAATCCTATGGGTTTATTCTTCTTTTTTTTAAGGTTGTCCTAAATAAAAAAATTAAATCTCGAAAATTACGCTAATTCAAACGGAAAAAAAACTAATAAGCCATTTTTAATGCAAAATTAAAATTATTGGCCTAAAAGATTCTTCTTTTTTTTCCTAATTCCCTAATGTTTTTTTGATTTTTTAAATTATGTTTACGAATTGTGGAAATATTTTAAAATTTTGTTAATAATTTGTTGAAATAATTTACGAGAAAAATATAATATGAAATATAGAATTTAACGAATTATTCTACGTCAAACATTTTTGAATATAAATGGATAATTTTGCGATAACTTTTGAAGATTAAATAGAAGATTCTGGAACATGTTTACTATATCTCTATAAGCTCACGAAAGTTATGCAACAGCCTTAAAGAAAGGTTATAATTTAGTCCCGATAAATTAGCCAGGTTGATAATGTTTCCCTGTCACATTTGGGCGTTACCAAAGGTGAATTATAAATGAAGGAATATATCCTAATATAAAGATGGACTCCTTCTAAATTATCGTTAACAATTTTTAAATTTAATTAATTCAAAACCAGACATTTCTAGTGTTGTTAAATGGCTCTACCGATTTGAAGTGCCGATTTTGCTGACCTAATATTTTTAGCCTAATATTGCTTTGATCCTCAAGATGTCGCTAATAGATATCTCCAAACCTTTTGCGCTCTCTATGAGCAAAATCTTCAGGCTTGAATAATATTTTTGGGATTTTTCTTTCTTTCTTTCTTTCTTTCTTTCTTTCTTTCTTTCTTTCTTTCTTTCTTTCTTTCTTTCTTTCTTTCTTTCTTTCTTTCTTTCTTTCTTTCTTTCTTTCTTTCTTTCTTTCTTTCTTTCTTTCTTTCTTTCTTTCTTTCTGCCGTTATCGGCTTAAATCGAGCTGTGTAACAACACTAAACGTTTGCAAACGGATTATCATTTTTTTATATATATTTTATCTCGATTCTTTCTTAATTATAATTTTATATAGAATTGTTTGTTTTTTTTTGGGGGGGGGGGGGTTATATTAAATATCATATCCTATTTTTTTAGGGTGGATATAATTTTTATTTCTTGAATCTGATAAAAAATAAAAAAGCAATTATAAAAAAACCATAATTTATATTTATATATACATTTTTTTTTTAAAAAAATGACAGTAGCATACAAATTGAAGCCTTTCCTATTTTATTTTAAATGATGCTGTTGTGACTTAGAAAATATTATTAAAAAAATTTGTAAACTAAATTTGAAGTAGTGTTGTTAAAACGGCTAACGCGAGATTTCATTCAGAAAAATATTACGCCAGCCTGAAGATTTTTTCTCATAGAAGGAACACGGGTCTAAGGACATATATCATCGAAATCTCCAAACTTGGGCACTATTTTTTTCTGGCTAGAATACTGAGTTATCCGTTTTAACAACACTAATCTTAAGAATCAAAATAATAAATAAAAAAACATATATTTTTTAAAAAAATATATATATAATTGTAATGGGAAATATAGTTTTGATCGGCAAATTTCGTTGGATATTCGATAAATTTATCAGAGACCTGCGGCCCGGTCCTAAGCCTGGCCCGGGTACAGGGCCTAAAATTCAAGAGATGGTAGCTGAATGGTGAATAAGCATTTTAATAATATACCCTTTAAAGCCGTATTGTTCAACGGCTCTAGTTTTTTTTTAAGAGGAGCTGACCCGATCTTTTGGCCGAAAAAAGTATTAACGCCAAGCCCTCCAAATTTTGTTGACAGATGGGATCGAATTATTCTGCCAGCCGAGAGCCGAATTCTCCACGCTCGCGTTGGTATTTTTTGGGGCCAAAATAAATCGCTAACCGTTTAACAACAGCTGGCCCGCATTTTAAATGCTTGATTTGTATAAATCAATTTTAAAAAAATCGAAATACACCCCCCCCCCCTTTCTCCATTTTGAAATATTTTTTTTAATCCGTAACCGAGAATTTTTTTTTACTCTTTTAGGGTACGGCATTTATATTTTTTTTTAAATTCGGCTATTTTAAATAATTTTCCTATATTTTGTTTATTAAAAACAAAACAGGAAATTAAAAATATGAGTATTTAATAAAGGAATATTATATAATTCATTAATTTTTTTAAAATTATACCATTTTAGGGTACGGTTCCTAGTTCCGATATTTAGTGTTAGGTCTGCATCTATGATAAGAGTTTAAAAAAAACGATAAATCTTAAAAATAAATAATTTACTTCGAAATATCATTTTTTTTCACCCATATCCATGTCGGCCGGCCGGGTTTGGTATCCGTTCCTAAATTTTGTTTACCCGGCCGGGTTGAGTATTGGATTATATTGTTTAAGAAAAATGCATTTATTAGCTAGATTTAAAATTCAATATAAAAAAATATATATATTTATATAAAACTGATTATATATATCTCTTCCAATTAACAAATATTTCGACAATATTTTAATATTTTTATTCATCTAACAAATTTTATTTTAGTGTGGTTTATAAACTTTGTTTGATTTGTATAAATCCACCTTCATAAAACTAATTTAAAATCAATAATTAGCTATTTAACAATAGCTTTTATAATACAAAATATACATGAATTTTTATATTCAAAAAATATTTTGAAAAATGATACATTTATTTTATTACTATAAAAATTTATTAAATACAAACAAATTAGCTATTGATTTTATTCGAATTTATTTTGAATAATTCTGAAAATTTAAGGAATGGTAATTTTAAGTAATTAGTTTCGCCACTGTCTTAAACCTAATTTTAAAATCAATAATTAGCTATTATACTGCCAGGTCACTTATTTAACATTTAGCTTTTACCTTGAAAGAAAGAAAGAAAGAAAGAAAGAAAGAAGAAAGAAAAGAAAGAAAGAAAGAAAATATACATGTTAGCGGTAATGTGTTATTTGAGAGCGTTTTTTTTTAAACCCGTCTTATGAATCTTAGATATTTTTTTATTAAATAGTCATTTTATAATTTAGATGGGAAAATTAATATAAATTTTTATTAAGTGTTCAAACGTTTACGATAATTTTAGCCGAAATTCTTAGGGGTAGGCATTCCAAAACATGATTGAATCCATTTCCGGTAAAATTCCGACTTTTAAATTTTAAAAAAAAAACGCGCCAATAGATTTTTTGTTGAAAAAAAATGATTTGAAAATAAATATATTTTTTTATTATTTTAAAAATTCTTTTTTAAATACAACAATTAACTATTGATTATTACAATTCATTTTGAATGATTTTGAAATTTCATTTTTTTGCTATAATCCAATCAAATTTTCGCAAGTTTATATTTATTATTTCCCATTCATTTCCTATAAAAAAAAATTTCTATTCATGAATTATCTTCAAAAAAAAAACTAAATTCAATCCTATTATATTATTAATTTTGCAAAAATACAAAGTTAACAATGAACTTATCTATTAAGCCTTTCTTTCTTTTTTTCTTTCTTTCTTTCTTTCTTTTCTTTCTTTCTTTCTTTTCTTTCTTTTCTTTCTTTCTTTCTTTCTTTCAACGATGAGTTTTGGTCATAACGAGGTATATGATTGGCTTGTGAAGGGGGGGGGGGTAGTAATTAAGCGTAGAATAATTTGGTTTATCTCTTTACAAATATTAAGTTTTTGGTTGGTAATAAACTATAGTTGTACAGTTACTTTTGAAAAACTGGTAACATTTTTTTTTGAAATGTAACGACAAAAGTAACTGGGTAATTTTTTTTATCAAACTTTTAAATCACTTTTGTTTAAGCCCGTTGTTTTTAAAAAAATTTAAAAACCTAATGTCACCGGAATCCAATTTCAGCATGCTTAGAATGCTTACCCTAGAAATTTTAAGCATTTTTCTCTTTTTATCTTTTGACTCATTTCTAGTTTATATTGAAAAATATTTTGGGAAATACTAATATAAATTTCTAGTAAATTCAAAATATCACGGAAGTAGGTTTATGAACAAGCTGGAATATCTGAATAAATTCAGATTTTTTTTATAAAATTTTAAAATGGTGTTTACTTTGATTAAAATTTTAATATTTAAAGTAACTTGCAAAGTAACTGTAAAACGAACTACAAAACTTGTATATTTACAATTAGTTTTACTTTAGTATCGTCTGAGTCTTTATTTTTAGGTTAACGTTTTGCTAGTTTATTTCAAACTAAAACAATTTTTATCTTTTTTTTTGTTGAAAAGAAACCCTGTACCAATTTACCCCGGAACAAAATTCCCCGGATTCTCTCATTTGGCAATTTCTTTTTTTTTCTAGGATTCACTGTCCTATATTAGATTTTTTTTATAATTTATTTTTTCTTTTAATCAGCTGATAACTAACTTACTTTTTAAAAAAAATTTATTTATTGAGGGAATAGCATTCATATATCGATTATTTTTTTTATAAAAATTCATAAACCTATGCAAAATAACTATTTTTATGAAACTGCGGTTATAACCCTTATTTTAAGGTTTCTAAGCAATCTAAATCGCTTAACTCAGGGTTAGCGCCGCGCGCTAACCCTGAATTCCTTATAGTTTTTCTGAAATTATATAAAAACCCTTTTTTGTCACGTGACCATTGATTGAGCCCATTTCACCCAACTACTCTATCGAAAAATGGTACACAATCTAAGGCAGATTTTGGGCAGCGTCAAACTAGGGAAAGATTATTGGTGCTCATAGAAATCTTGAGGAATTAATTTTTTTTAATTTTAACAGCTCATTTAGCCCCGGTAAACTATACCCCTTTTCCATTCCCCCAGATTTCACTAATAATATATTTTATTAATTTAATATAGAAAGTTTATGGTTTTATGATTTAAGAAAAACGCTAAAAAAAAATTTTTTTTTTATTATTATATTACATCTAGATATTTACGGACTAATTCGAAATCAATAATTTCATTTTCAACCCTTCGTATATTATGTATCTACATCTCCTAATCGATTTTAAAAAGAGAAATATATGATCCTAACGAACGCTTTCGCCATCCATTTGGACATTCCTACACTCCGTCGTAAATTGGGGCGGATTATGATTAAGGCATAGAAACTCATCCATCTCACCCTCTCAAAAATCGTTCGAGATATCTATTTTTGAAATAGTTCACCAAATGAACCAAAATTTAGACTCCAGGAATATTACGGACGCAGATTCCGAGATTAATAACCACGTGACCCTAGAAAATCGCGATTCGAAACTCTCCAACGTTATCGAAAAATCGGGTGAAGAGAAAAGATCGAAGGACCCTCGGAACCACGAACTAACGCCTAGCCAGGTTACTCCACGTAACGACCCCAACGAATCTGACAAAGTTTCCTCGCCGAATATCGAATCGAAAGATTCTGGGAAAATTTTGTCGATCCTCAACCGTGGTACGGTCCAATATAAGAATCCCGTCGATGATTCGTTGATCAATAGAATTGCCCAATCCGAGACCACCAATAATACGGACGATTTTATTGATGATAGCGAATATTCCAAATCATCCTTACCCAAAATCCCAGAAATTCGCAAAACGCACGCAAACGGAAGCGACAATAATACGGAGGCCCATCGGAATATTTTGTTATCCAGGATTCAAAGATTGCAGGACAAAATCAAGAAGGAGAAGGATATCAGAGATGGTTCGTTTTTTTTTTTAAGATTCTTAAAAAAAATTGTTTTTATTTATTTTTCAGCCCGAGGTAGTCGCGACACGTGAATAAAAAAATATTAAAATCAATATCCGATCCCGACAATCCGGGTTCGAATTGGATTTGACTCGAGCCGGTTAGTTCCGGAAGACCTTCCTGGGTACTACACGGTTCTGGCCGTATATTTTTAAACCAAATATTTTAACTTTTTCATCGATCCGATATTCACCTAATGACTCCTATGACCGGTGTGCTGGTTATCAGATCAGTTATAGGCGAATATTGGATCTGCGCAGCTTTTTCCTTCCACACTTAAAGACCGATCGGCTATGTCCCATACTATGGCTACCTGGAATGGCGCGTATATCCATACACAGTTTTATCTAAATTTGATAGACAATGGCACTCGGATCGATTAGAATTATCTTTTGAAATGTCATGTCGTTTCGTATCAATCAACGAAACAAAAAAACATCAATCAAAACTAAAATAATAAGTTTAGTGTTGGTGTTTTTCTATTATAAAAGGGTTTCGTTTGTTTTAAAAAAAAACTATTTTGAGTTTTTAAAAAAAAACTATTTTGAGTTTGTTTGTTTTTTTTTAAAAAAAAACACAAAATAAAACATTTTAATTTTTTTTTGTTTGAAATTCAAAAAGTTATTTTTTTATTGTTTTTTGACAAAAACTTATTAAAATTATTAATTTAAATTGTAAAGCGCACTTAACTAATTTACTCATCTTTGATGACACAAAACGCGACCTCGATATTCTCAGTGATGATTGGCATTTATACATTTTACCTTTAAATTATAATTTTTTTTTAAAAAACAGGAAACGGAAAATGCAATTTTCCAGTTTTTTTAAAAGTTTTTTAAACGACAAAATAAACTTAAAAATTTGTTTGTTTTTTTAATCTAAACGACAAAAAAAAATTTTTGTCATCCATGTGTCATAAATAAAATATAAAATATAAAATAAAGATGATGTTAAAAGCAAAAATAATAAATAATTTATAAATTATGACTACAAGAATTTCCAGAGATCTGTCAGAAACAGGGGTTTTTAAAAAATAATATGATTTTAGCAATCCTGATTGATGCTTAATCTTATTTTTAAAATTAAAAATCTGGGACGTTACAAGTAATTCAGTCAATTTTTGCCGTAAACATTTGTATATTTTTCGCGATTTATATGAAAAAAGTATATAATCAAAAACCAGTTGTTCCATGTATTCATCAAACACCTTTTATCAGAATTATTATAAATTCACAGTGTGTGGGGGTGGGGGCAGGGTGTACTGTGCACATGGTGAAATGTATTTCCGGTCAAGATTTTTTTTTTCCAGTAAATGATTTAAAAAAATGGGAGATTCTTAATCCCAATGAATTCCGTATTAATCATTTGGAAAAATCGTGTGATATATCCCTTCAAACAATTACGCAAAAATATTCAAAATAAATGGTATTTTAAAAAAAATACGAGCCGAACCCTGGAAACGATCAAAAATAACCAGGCCAGAAAAGTTTTTTTCGGAAAAAAATCTTGAGCTGGAATTTGAAAATGTATAAGGATTCGCTTAAAATTTTGATCACTGCAGGTCTTTTATAAATATACTTTTCCAGTGGATCGATACATCGTATAAAAATGGATCTGGGTACAGATACAGGTGCAAACTTACGAATGGATCTGCGTACATGTGGTTTTAAAAGTGCATCTAGGTACAAGATACCACATTTTTTTGTATCTAGATTTAGCAACCCTGATTTCTAACAGATCGGGGCTGTTGCATCTGGTCCAGCTAACCTACCCGACTATTTTTTTTAAAAATCACACCGATTAAACATTTCTTTTACAATTCGTGATATGTTGTCTTAGCGGCCGTTAAGAAAATGTTAATTTTAAGCTGATCTTTAAAATAGCAATTTTAAGAAAATATCTTTTAACCTCTCTCTATATTAGTGTTGTTAAACGGCTCGATTTGAGCCGATTTCTAAAAACGGCTAACTGAATATTTAAGCCAGAAAAGCATTATCTAAGCCTCAAGATTTCGCTAATAGATGTCCAAACCTATGTTCCTTCTACAAACAAAATCTTCAGGCTTGCGTAATAGAATTCAAAATGAAATATTGAGTTAGCCGTTTTTAAAATTCGGCTCAAAACGAGCCGTTTAACAACACTACTCTATATACATTCATTTTAACGGTTTTATCCTATTTGGGTTTGGTTAAATAAATATACTATTTTTTTTTTAATGTTAAAAACGTAATTATTTACATGATTTTTTTTTTATTACCTATTTTCAACATAGAAAAATTAAATTGACTGACTACGTCACGTCACGTCTTTCTTCCAATGGGAATATAATGTTTGGTATCGAACAAAATTTATTTATTCTCTAAGGGCTGCGTCCGAAATGTCAAAAAATTAAATTCGCGAACTTTAAGCTTATACAATATCTGTATTTTAATTTTTTTTTTAATTGTTTGTATCACGGTGGTTAATGTTAGTTTCTGCCCAGTTAACATATAACGATTTTCTAAACAACAACCTAATTTGCTAAATAGGGACCCGATTGAATTTTTGTAAATGCAATCAGATCCATTTCTTTGTATCATAAAGAGGGGCGGAATCACGCGGTCGCTTCCGATCTACCATATAGCATACCCCATAGCACGTGACCGCCTGGATGGCGTCACGCCAAAAATTTTGGTCTCTGCAGGATTCGAACCCTGGACTTTCGCATTCTTATAGGCTACACCCGCTTCCCGGAGACCACGATAGTTTAACATTTATATTATAACCATAATGTGGCAGTGTCGATCCGAACTAACAAAAAAGTATAAAATAAACGATTCGTTTAACGCTACCTTTTTTGGTAGTAACGCGTACCAGCTTCGTATCGCGCCACTGCCACATATAATTATGATATATACAAAAAATGTCGGTTTCGAGAAGCGTCCGCGACCAGTAGGTTAACGCGTATATCGCCTACCGCACAGATCTGGGTTCAGAATCCACGAAGGTTTTTTTCCTCGAAGCTAATATGGTTGTGCACTGCGGTACTTAAATATATTACTGAAAAACTTCACGATTCCATCTGTTAATATATTAACATGGGTCTTGCTAAAAATTTGGTCGTGGTTTAGCAAATTTATCATATGTTGACTTGGCACCGTTTAACATTGACTGCCACGATGACAAGTGGTTGGGGAGGATCGGGTGGTTTGATAGTTTTTTCCCAAAAAAATGGCTGCGAACGTTTAAATTTTGAAAATCAAAAAAAAAATGTTAAACTTAATACTAAATTCCGTCTAGCGTTCAAAATCTCGAAACAGGTGACATATAATGTCTTAAAAAAATTAATTTTATCTCATCAAAAGAAAGTTATATTATTTTAGTATTTTAATTTTGGTCATGATTATCTTCTCTGTAGTGTTCCGCCTTTTCTTTATATGCAATTTGTCGCCGAAGAAGTATAATAATAACTCGGAGTTGATTGGATAGGAGTATAATCGCGAATGTATCAAATTTTAAGATTTTTTTTTTGGCATAAGTGCCTTTCTATCTATCGTCCATGTCATTTACTTTTCTATCAATTACCGTGTAACACTCTCCCACTGAAACATTACCGCCAATGCATTTTTTTTACGAATATGTTTGTCTCGGACAGGCAGCCGTCAATATCTATTTTATCTTATTGACGGGTTCAGCCATAATTATCGGAACAACCAGGGGCCTTAGTTCATAACAAGGTTTCCTCGAAATTAGACACATCCTATATTTATTAAACGATTTTTTCCATAGTAACTCAACTGTTTTCTAGAAATTATTTAGCGGGGAATTATTTTAAATAAAATATTAAATCTAATTTAGCTTAATTTCGCTTAAAAATAAGTCATTTTATAACCTATTAAAAATCTATAAAATATATTATGATAAATATAATTAAGAAAATATATGTTATGGGGGGGGGGGGATAAAAGTAAAAGTGGTAGGCATAGATCTAAGATGGAACCTTTTGTTGAATCCGAGAATTTCTGGCGATATTTTCTTATCCAACACGTAGGTTTTCCTTTTGGGGGGGGGGGGCTTCTCTTCGTAATAAATAAATATATTTTTGTTTTTTTAAAGAAATTAATTAAATATAATTGTCGGTTATAATAGAGGTCCGCAAAGACCAGGCCCGGGTCCCTTCCGCCCCGTTAAGAATTTTTGGGTTGGTTGTCCGGTCCGGTTTAATGAAAAATTTTTTTTTTTAAAATCTGGCCCTCGTGTTGGGTTTTGCAAGGATTCTCTACCATTCCACGATAAAAAAAATTTTTTTTATGCCACTTTTAATTATATTTTATTATTAAAGTTTCTTTCTTTCTTTCTTTCTTTCTTTCTTTCTTTCTTTCTTTCTTTCTTTCTTTCTTTCTTTCAATGACATTGACCGAATTGTATTGACTGACAATATAAAATAGATACAAATAAAATGTCCTTAAATCAATCCTATCTATTCTCTTCGATCGCTTCATGATTCATTTTTTTATATATAAAATAAATATAATAAATTCACGACAAATATTTTCTTTTAAAATTTGAATTTTTTTTTCAAAAAAACAAATAAAAATAAATATAACGAAATTCGAATAATTTATAGATTTCTATTTTCTGGGTACGGTCGTAATATTCCATCTTTTTTTTTGGGAGCGACAATATGACACGTGGCGTCCCCCATTTTCTTTTTGTTGTTGTATGAATCATAATATGCATGCAACTTTTTTTAATTTTTTTTTAGGATTAGGACGCCATTTTTTTTAAACATTTATTTAAATATAATTTTACAATTATTCTCCTTATTAATTTGACTAATCCGTCTAATGAGGGCTTTAAAGGCTTTTTTTTTTAAATATGAATGGAAGGCACACCCCAATCCCTCACAGATAAATTTTAAAAAGATACGAGTTAATATTTGCATACTAACCGCGCATTTACATAATTCTCCATTGCACACTCAAGAAAATCTGAATTCGTACCTTAACCTGACTCACCACCCAGTCACCCAACTTCCGGTGACTTCGTCTTCCGTCGATCCTTCCCACGTAGTTCGAAAAAGTTTCCAAAAAAGGAATCATCTGATCGCAGATCGGCTCAACCGTTACGAAAAACGCCTACGCGAAACCTTTTCGGAACTCGAAATGTGCACGTGCGCTCCGCCTCCACGTCCCCTGCGCCCAATGGCCTCGGTTCCGTTATCGTCTAAAATTGTCGAGTCACGAGAATTCGCGATAGGTGACCAATCAGGGAGCTCGAAAAATAGGACCAGAATGTTTCGATCGGAGTGCGGCAAAGGGAATGGACGAATCGACCAATCGGAGAAAAGACAAAATAGTTTCGGAGATTCGCACCGATCAGACATCGGTAAAATAAAAGGATCAGATAATTCGACGGGCCAATCGGAGAGCGCTAAATTGGTCCAATCGGAGAATAGCAATTCATCCGCAGATTTCTCTAAAAAACGATCCGCAGGTGACGTTAAACAGGGTGGCTCACTTGATAGAGCTAGACAAGCCCCACCTATTCCCCTTCCCCCTTTATCAACTCATCATCATTCCGGTTTCCACTGGTTTATGGATAAAGAAATAAGGTTTGTTTTTTTTTTAAAATCTAAACTTTCAAATAATCATGCATGCACCCACCCTCGGTGGAATAACGGACCAAGGTATTAACGCAATTTCGCGGTAGCGAGTACCGTTTGGGTAACGGCTAAATGTCCGCTAAATTCGGTTAAAATCTTCGGGCGGGCTTCCGGGGAAAATCCCGTTAACATTAAGGCGTTTTAATTTATATCAGTTTATTTCCAAATTTCAGCGGTTATCTTTTTAATAAATAAAAAAACCCGGGCCAAAGTGATAGCTTAGCCGGTTAAAAACACTTGGTTTAACCCATTTTTTTAACCGGCCAAAAATATAACCGATTACCCACCAAGTTTTTAACCGGTTTTAAATATAACCAATTACCCACCAAGTTTTTAACCGGTTTTAAATATAACCAATTACCCACCAAGTTTTTAACCGGTTTTAAATATAACCAATTACCCACCAAGTTTTTAACCGGTTTTAAATATAACCGATTACCCAACTATAGTCGCCACCACGCCAGTACGCGCTAATTTTTTTTTGCTCAGTTTTCAATCTATATCCGACAATAACCAAGGTGTCTTTTATAAAAAAAATTAATTTATAATTATACATACCTACCTCTTTATAATAAAATTAATATAATTAAAATGAAATTTATGTATATTTTTTTTTAAAAAAAATAAAACTTAAAAAGAAAAGAAAATAAAATAAAAAACTTCATTCTTAGTAATTCCTTCACGGAATCTTAATTGGATCATTGTCCTCCCAATCCATCTCTCCCTCTCTCTCTCTCTCATTCCATATTTTGTTAAAAAAATTCTTTTTTTTCGATTATTAATAAAAAAAAAAATAAAAATATTTTTATGATTTTTTTCTTTCCTTTTTTTTTTAAAAAAAATATCGGTAATTAAAAAATCGTGACTTATTCGTATTTAAAAATTGAGGTTTCTTTTTTTTTTTGAGAAGTTCATATTAGTGATCTGCATCGGGTCCGATTTTTCAAACCCGGCCCGAACCCGATTATTTTTGAAATAATTTACCGGTTCCGAACCCGAAACCGGCTTGGCTCGACCCGGAATTTTTAAAATTTTAAAAATAGGCCCGAAGCCCGTTCAGACCGGGTACGGGCCGGGCCTACCAGATCTCTAGTTTATATTACGAAATTACATTCTCCTATTTTAAATAAGTGGCTTTCCTCGGGGATTCGAAATCGCTCATTTTTAAATCTTCTTCTTCTTTTTTTTTTTACTGAAGCCGATTTTTTTTTAAAAAAAAATTTTATTTTAATCTGAAAATGTTTTCCATCACGTGTTAATCAATGACATAATAATAATAATATCTAGATTGACGACGCGTTCATTAAAAGCGTACATCAGCTGGGGAGGGCCATTTTGGTTACTGAAGGCGATTTTTAAAAACATTATTTAAGTCGGACCTCGATTTTAAAAAATTGGGTTTATAATGACCCCGGTTTTGACGGGGGACCAGGTGATCTCCTCTTTCGACCGAGCTAAGAAAAAATTTATTACGATTATTGTGGCCACTTATTTTGATTTAAAAAAAATATTCTTTACGAAATTGTAACAAAATGATTCGAGTTTATTTGCGACAATAGCTCTGACAAAATCATCTTATTCAAAAATTAAACTTTTGCTAAAAAAAAAATTATCATAAAAAAGAAAGAAAGAAAGAAAGAAATTTTTGAGGAAAATTATGTGATTTTTTTTTTGCTATAAAATATTAAATATATTTTTCTAAAGATAAAAATGCCAAAAAAAATAATAATGGTCGCCAGAAATATATATATTTTTTTTTAAATATAATAAAATTCCCAAAGGATCGCAAGTATCTGTGATAAAAAAAAATAATAAGATTGAAAAATCTTGCATTATTTGATTTTTGACCAATCTATTCACAAATCTGAGTTCAAGCGAAAAAAAATTTTTTTTTATATATAAGCCAAGAAAGTATAAGGGGTAAAAAAAACAAAATGTTTTTTATAAACGTTTTTTATTTTTTTGTATTTTATTTTTATTTTTTTCTCAAGCCGCATGAAAACGAGGAAGAAAGAGTTAGCTCATATGTTCAAAAAGTTTGGCAGTTTGGATCATCTTCACCCTAGCGCCGTTACCCAGATAAATCCTACCAATTTGAGTATAATAATTGATTGACATCTTTGATTTGGCATTTCATTATAAAAAAACAATAATTAGGTTTAATTTAATGTCACCTTTTATATTTTAACCATCGGATGGGGGAGGGGGTCTAGAAGGCCCTGTAATATTGTGTCAGAAATCCACTTCATAGGCTTGTTAACAGATACAAATATGCTAAGGCACGAAATAATTAAAATAATCCAAGCCCGATGTTCCTTCGCATCTCGAAAACCATGTATTTTCCGTTATTGATAACTTCGCCTTCTGATGGGCATACGTGATCCCCCGGAATTTTGGGAAACACGTGTATCGGGGCTTTTACGTGTATAGAGGATTTTCGCCCCGTCCAATAACAAATTACGATTCCATTAGGTAAAGCGGGGAAAAAAGCGACAGTATTCAACAAACTGCTCATTTGGTGGAAAGAGGCTAAATCCCCAATCAATCTAATTGGTCAAAAGAACCCCCTAAAACAACAAATCTCTAGTGGCCATTTTGATCGAACAAAAAATTTCATGGCACTCATCCGAGGACTTTTTTTTTAAATAAGGATTTAAAATTTTATTTCTATCAATTATATATGTTATTTTATAAGTTTATATATTATTTTTTAATTACGTTATATAAAATATCGATTTAGTTTTTCATGTCTCTAACAGCTCTATCAAAGATCTCTTTTAACCCTACCACACTGAGAATTTCTGCTCAATTAGGTTCCCGTAGTCCGTAGTAAAAAAAAATAACATATGTTATATTATAATTAATTTAACTGAATTTTTTTTTTGCATTAGAAAAATAAAAATTTAATTATTGTATAATTAATTATTTTATTTTTTTTAATATCTTTATATTTTAAAAGAAATAAAAAAGATATTTTAAATAAATATCAAATAACAAATAGTATAATATTTTTGAAGGAAGAAAATGAATCTTATTTAATAAAAAAAAATAGTAAATATATATATATTATATGTTGAAGCATTGCTATTATGAAATCAATAGAAGATCCTACCTGACCCCCTTCAATCATTTTTAAGAATCGATATTTTAATTTATAAATCGGCTTATACTTCCTTTGATATATGGGCTAGGCTATACCTATAAAAACGCAAATTTTTTTTAACTACTGCAATTTTAATTTATAAATATATCAAAATATTATTTAGTTTTTAAACACCGTAATTTAAAATTTTTATTGTGTATTATATATATATATATCTTATAATAGCATTTTTATTATGACGTTGAAATTTAGCTTATAACCATAAAAGAGGAAATTGTCCATAAAAGAGATAACGGAAATTTTTTTTTCTTTCCTTGGGCTAGCACTGGTTCCAGGAGTTTATCATATGGTAAAAAATATCCGACATAACAAATATCAGAGACCCGCATAGGCGCCATTTTTACGGCCCGGCCCGGATTTTTATATTTATTTAAAATTTTTATAGCTAATAATGGCGATTGCTGACCTATTAAGTAAGAAATTACAATTCTTTTGTTTAGAGTTAGAGACTTTTGTTCTTTACAGAAAGCATGAAAGAAAGAAAAATAAAATAAAAGAATAAATTAGGATAATATTTTATAAAATATAAGTCATTATATATATATAAATAATTTTTTTAATATATTGTTATACTATAAAAAATATTCATTTTCTTGATCAATAAAAAAAACTTTTATTTATTATTAGCTTATTTTTTGTTATTAATCACCCTTTTTTCCTATTTTTATAGAGGATTAAAAAAAAAGGTAATATTAGTCGAAAGAAAAAAGTTAATATGAAATTGAATTAAAGTGGGAATAAAAATAAATTAAAAAAATAATCGTTATTGCTGTGGTAAACTCACATGACCCTTCTATTATTAGCCCATTTTTTTAGATATTATAATCATTTGCCTTATCCTCCTTTTTTTTATTGGTTGTACCTATACAATTATACTCTTAAACCTCAACGCAATGCGACGCGACGGTTACTTTAATTTGGATGACACGACAGGGTTCGGGGGCGTTTTAATTGGGCTTTTAAGAATAAAGAAAAACGATTCCTTGAGTCGGATAATCTTCAAAGATCATAATCATTTTTTTTCTCTTCCCTCTTCCAGATACTTCCATCGTTACTGGAAAAGCTAAGTTTAGGATCGATATGGCCAAAAACGGTGCCACCGGAGATGTTACCAATATACTAAGGTATTTAATTTTTTTTTGAAAATTTAAAAAAATTTTTAATGTCAATAAATTCGAATTTGTGCCTCATCCCCCTCTCAAAGTTCCGATTATAACGGTCACCTAGCACCCTTGCCCGAGCCGGACACTTACCAAAATGATCCTACTCATCCAAACTACTCCTCATCTATCCATACGTCTTCCCAGCTTTCCACCGCATCCTCGACGCCTTCCTCCTTGTCCGGCAAGGAGAACAATAATTCGTCCACCTTTTACATCGGTTCCGGTTATTTGGCCCAACCTCCTACCCACAAAACCTCTTCGAGTGTTCGCAGCGTTAAAAGTTCGAATTCTCAAGGTGAAAAAAAAAATCATTTTTTTTTAAATCAGCTGGCATAAATATTTCAGTTATAACTGAATAAAATTTTAGCCCGAATTTGAAAAAAAAACAGCAGAAATATTGCCGGCTGAATCTTTTTTATTTGAAATCGTTAACGAAGAAGGGGAAATTTGAAAAATATGAGCGGTAAATGTTTATGGAACACTCTACCATATGTTTTACGGACCGATTAATCGATAAAATTTAACGCTACTTCTTTAAAAATCGCCGCGGGAAAGGAAAAATCCATTCTTTCTTTCGTTCTTGTAAAAATAACTTTCCTCTATCGGATTCTAAATTTTTTTAAAATTGTCCCATTTCTTCCCAAACATACCAGAATCAAAAACATATCCTATTGAATAAGACAAAAGAAAAGGTAGTGAATTCTATTTATTTTCATGTATCTTAATTAAGAATCAACTCCTAAATCTCTTTTTTTTAATGATTCTTGGAAACTTCTTCTTCTTCTCCGTTTAATGGCGATTTCCAGGTTCACCCAAGTTGGCCAGTTTTCCTTCTAAGTCTTGCAGGGACCAGATTTGGTTGGAGTTTTTATTAGATAATTTTAATGCGCTTCAGGTTTATGGCCCCTTCTTGAATAAGAGAACGGGATATCTATTTGGTGTTACATTTACCCAACAATTGATTCCCTAGGTTCTGAATCGCCTGCATTTTTCTTCTTCCAAGAATTTAATTTATGATTTATAATCGTTTTTTTTAAATCTGACTTACACTTTTTAAGATCGACGGTTTAACCCTCCCGCCACCTCTCCGGATAAAACTGCTTTAGCTCCCGAAAAATATGGTAGCAAACAAACCCTCGGCTCTCATCACGCCTTAATCACTCCTTTCAATCCGAATCCTATTGTGGCACATGATCAGGATCATAATGCCCCAAATATTTTAGCCGGAAATGGGGCATCTAACAACCTTACGAATAACAGGGATATGGTAGAAAATGAGGCAAACTTGGAAGATGGGAAATATTCGGGAGAAATTTTAGATCATTCGCCCTCCAAGCAGCAGAAAGAGTTGGACTATTACGGTAACCAAATCCCGACTCAGCAGGGTCAAAATTATCAAATGCAATACCAGGGACAGCTGGAAAAATTGGCTCAGCAACAAAATCAGGACAGGAGAAATTTGGATAGTTTGAGGGTTTAGATTTTTTTTAAAAAAAATAAATTCTTTCCAAATTAAATAGCTGATTTTTTTCGTGTACTTTCTAAAAAAAAATGAAAAACAAAGGAGCGGCTATGGAGTGGCACTCCATTACTTAGAGCGGAAGCTAGCTCCTTTTAAAAACTCACTGGCGGGAGGGGGGAGCTCGCTCAGGTAGGAGTGGGAACGGGAGCTACCCGCTCTTTTAATCCGAATAGAATAATTAAGGTTTGGGGAGGGAGGGGGGTTATAGCTAGACCTCACCCTTACTTCTCGAGGATTTTTTAAAAAAGAATTATAATTGTTTAATATAAATTTTTTACAGATAAAGAATCAGCAAGACTTCGCTTCCTTCAACGAGTCAATGTCAGAGATCGGATTCCGATGTGAAGTAAAAAAAAAAGAAATGAAATAGATTTTACAATTGAAACTTTATTATGCGAGAGAGTTCTAACTAGTTAGCACCATTAAAGTACAGATTCTATTTTGAACTATAAAGATTATCAGCTAAGTAACCTGTCAGGTCTGGAGAGCTAAGTTTTATTCTCAACGATTCAAAAAACAGCTAGACTTTTTGAAAAACTAGATCGCCAACCGGAAGGCTCTCTAGACCAAAAAAAAAGCCCTGAATTATGACGGGTCTGGAACTATGTTATATATATGTATCATTTTTTTTTATTTTAACTATAAATGTCTCTTATAATTCCAACCCATAAAGAATCTGAACGAACAAATAACCGACATCGTAGAACTCCAACAGTCCGAAACCGAGAATTTGAGGTTAGAAATCAAGGCGCTGGAAGAAAAGATGTCGTATCAAATAGACGACAGGACGCAAGATATACTCGAGATGATGGAAAATATCCAGACCAGGGTAAAAAAAAATTTGTATATTTTTTTTAATTACGGATTTGATGGACTAATAAACCGAACCTTGCGAAGGTCACTCTCCTCTTCCCTCTTTGTGTTTCCCAAATGAACCCGAATTTAAAGCCAGAAATGAGCCTGTCTTTCATAAACCCGATCCGAAGTAAAGTTATAAGCCCGGGTTTGGCGTAATACCGAGATTGAATATAGAAAAATTGTGCAAAAGTAGTCACTCTCGGATACTACGATTTCATGAATATTTTGATATATCCCAAAATGGAGTCTCGCGAGTTGGGCGCGGACCTAGAAATTCAAAAATATTTCGGACTAGGTCGGGCGCCACCCTAAAATATCCGAGCCGGTTTCGGTCCTGATTCTTTACCTTAAAAGTTTTTTAAAAATACCCAAAGTTCTCATGGCTCGTAAATTTTTATCTTTTTTTAAAAAAAAATAGTTTTTTATATAATATATTTCGTAAAGTTGATATTGAATCATTTATAAAAACAAAAACGAAATAACCAATTTATCTATTTTTTTTTAATTCATCAATATTTAACAAAAAAATAATCGATGTAGCCTTGATAACGAAAGATGTGACGATGGCAAAAATTGATAATTTTTTAAAATAATTTTATAATGATTATTAAATATGTAATTTACTTATTTATTTATAACCTTGATATATCAAGATTTCGAAGCTTGAATTGGCCCAACAAAGGCAACAGATAGGCTCTCTCGAGGGGCTGGAGATGTCAGCTGCCCGCAATCTCTTGCTCAAATTCATCAATATATTGTTAGCCTTTCTACAACTAGTCCTACTCTTAACGTCCACGTTCGCCACCATACTCAGCCCCTTCGTTAAAACTAGGTATGTATCAAAATCCAACCAATAAACCATACAACATACTCCTTCTAAACTTTTATTTTTTATACTTGGCTAGGTTTCACTGGATAAATAAATAAGTTACTTGAAATTAAAATGTATAATAAAAATACTATTTTAAATAAACAGGCATAATGAAGGTATATAATGTAATATTACGGTAATTAGCATATTAAAAATACTAAATTTGTTTCTTAGTTATTCTTGATTTGGTTGATGATGCACTGTTTTGCCTACAGACAGGGAATAAGCCTTGTATTTCTAAATCGATATTGTATTTGTACAAAAATATTGATGATCACGTGTAAAGGAAAATGATGTATGTATAAAGTTATAATGTGCCCTTTTCCGATAGAAGACTATGGCATAAGTTACCAAATTATCCCGCCCATAACTGCTCTGATTTTATATGAGATGCAGGATTTCGATATCCTAGCACTAGATGCTAATATTGGGAAAAATGATGCCATTTAGATTATCTGGAGCTTATTGCTATTGGATTAATCATCATATATTTAACTAAGTTACTGGATCCTAGTATATCTAAAATACTAACATTATCCTTTTTTATAATATTAAAAATCCCTCTTCGATTTAAACAAGTGATGGCGTTTTCGTTTTTTTATTTATTATTTATCAAAGCGTACAGCAAAAAAAATGTAAACAATTTGTCTGCCACTATAAAAATATAACTAGTTACGTTTGACAAACATTGGTAGATAACATTTATCTCATTCAAGTCTTTCCTTAAATTTTTTTTAAAAAAACACTTTTAAACTACTTTGATCCTTATCACTTTGGTCATGAGAAATCGGCTATAACTATGTACGTGCGTGACAGTGATATACACCTTCTAGTTTTGACTTATTTCACATTTTATTGAAAACTATTTCAAAAGTCATGCAGGTTTTTTATAATTAAATCATATGCGATTCTAAAGATTGGGATGATTACACAAAAAATATTTCTGCTACAAATTTTTTTTTTTTAATATTTACGGTTTCACAAACTAGAACAAATTACTCCACAACAAAAAAAAAGGAATTAAATTATCGTCATGTAGCAATTTGCTAAATAACGACAGAATTTTGCTAAAATTCAATAAGTCGGGTGGTCGCCACTTTTTATATATTATCCCCCTAGCATAGAGAATCTCTAGTTAGCTTCAGAAAAAAAATAACTGGTCCTTGCTGGATTCGAACCCAGAACTACTAACCGACTAGGCCAGAGACTCGACTCGGAAATGACAAGTTTTGTATATGAGGAAAAAATTAATACGCTATCTAATATTTCAATAAAAAGAGATCTTAGACAAATACGACATTACCATTATTCTTCCTTTATTCAAATTTTTTTCTTCTCTTTTTTTGTGGATCGATGATTCCCATTTACTAAACATTGTCTTCTTCATTATAATTATATTTACTATTATTATAATAATTAACACTTTCCAATTTTTTTCGCAAAAATAAACGCAAATAAGGTCTCGCACATTCGTAACCCTGATCGTGAGTCTCTGCGTAGCGCTCTTACTCAAGACGAATCCCAACTTCCAACGCCAATGCATTAACTTGATTCACCGCCTATTCCTAATGCCATCTCATAAATCCTGACCCGTTGAAAAAATCAGATTATGATCCCATAATTTTACTATTATCATTGATTTTAAACCTTTATATACGTCCTAAGTATAAATTATAATACTCAGGGGAGGGGATTTATTTATATTTTTATAGATTAATTTTTTAAAACCTCTTTTTTTTTAAAAAAAAACAAAAAATTATTGTTTTTTTTTTAATTTACGTGTTTTCTATTTGTTTTTTTTATAAAACAAAAAATATATTTAAAGAAATAATTCATAATTTATGCTTTCGTCGCTTATAGTCCAATATTAATATATATATATATACCATAAAACATTTCAATGACCGACCATCAATTTTAATAGTTTTTGTTTTTTTTTAAAAAAAAATAAAAAACATACTAATTTCTTTCTGTTCAAATTTGAAATAGAAATTGTGCAATCATCTTTTTAAAATGGGTTTTTTAATAAAATATTTTCTTATATTTTTTTATCAACCTCCCAACTTAGTAACTGTGATACTATAATGCTGGTGTATTTTATTATTATTCACTCACCCCCCCCCCCCCAACCCACCCTTCTAACTAAGTTAAATTATGGGTAATTATAACTTTGTTTTTTTTTTAAATCTAATACATTAAAAAGAGAGATAAATAATATTATATAGCCTTTAATAGAAATAATTATTTCTTATGTCGCAATATTGTATATTAAATTATATATTTTTAAAAAAGAAAAGATAAGATAAGATCAGGAAGAAGAATTATTGTCATTCCGAAATTTCGAATCGCTTGTCTTTTTTTTTAATTTATATTTGAATTCGAATTCTACTGTTATTTTTGGGTCCTCTAAGGAATATGTTGAGAAAACATAAAATATTTCTTACTTGTATTGAAAAAGCCCCAACGTGATTTGTTTATGCTGATATTATGAATTATTATGAATTAGGAGATCAATAAATAGGTTGTTTTTTTTTTAAAAAACATATATGATTTTAATATAACTTCGATTAAAATAATTTTTTAATGTATTAAATATATTCAAATATTGCGTCGATTTTAACTATTTTATACATATTCAACAAATAAAGATTTCACACGGAAAACTTTTTTTTTTTTTCTGTTCGGATGATGCCGTAAATTTGTAGTGTTTGAGGAATACTAAAGTTAATTATTATTATATTTTTTTTTAATAAGTGCTTTCAATAATAATTTTTTATATATTTTGGACACAGGCTCAAGTAAAGGGGTTAAAGATTTTGAAGAAATTAGATTTATCTATGATCTTATATCTAACATTCTGGATTCTATTCTTTTTTATAATATTATTATATCCTTATATACCCTTTTTTATCGGATCTATGGAATAAAATATATTGCTAACAATATTATATATTTTTGACATACGGATAGCCTTTTTTTATGGGAAAGGGGGGGGGGGGTGAGGAGGGACTAGTTGTATACGAACTCTTAAGACCCCCCTCCCCCCTTAGATCCGTTTACTTAGAGTAATAATATTAAAAACAGAAGTTATTTTAATTGGCTCTTATGATAACCCATATCTAATCCCACCTATCAGGATCAAATATGAATAATATCATTGCAGTCAAAGATATTGATTGGCTCATTTAATATTAATGTTGTGAACGAACGCGTTTAAAATGAAACGAAATTTTGTTTTTTTTTGAAAAAAATGACGAACGGCGTTCCTTTTATTTTTGACGAACTTTGAAGGTGAACGCGTTCGTTTTTTTTGCGTATATTCAATTTTAGAAAATCTCATTTTTAATCTTTTGAAAATAAAAAATGATTAATCCCAAATTTCTTAAGGGAAAAAAAATGGTTATTTTCTAATCAGCTGTTTTCTTTATTAGTGATGCAAAGACTGAGCCAAAAATATCAACTCGAAATTGGAGCGCGAACCTAAATCGCATCAACCTTAGAGCGCAAGCTGTGAATATCGGTTCATCCTTGAAACTCGAACCGAAAAAATTGGCTCAGTCTTGAACTCGAAATTGGTTCCATGTCAATTCAGCAAAACTTTTATTGCGAATGGATTTTATAGCGAATCCATAATAGCGAATACTATTCCGTGAATGCAATATCGCGAATTTTTTATAGCTAATACAATATCGCGAATTTTTTATAGCGAATACAATATCGCTAATTTTTTATAGCGAAACCTTTATCACGAAACTTTTAATACGAATACATTACCGCGACACTTTAATCGCGAAGATATTATAGAGAATATAATATCGCGATAATTGCTAATAATGACTTATTTATTTTGAATCACTTTTTTATAATTATATTATTTTAATATTTTTTTTATTCACATAGTTTGTAATTTTCTTCTAACCTTAAAAAATTTATATAATGATTAATAAACTTAGATCTGGTTTATGAAATTTGTTATTGAAATACACTTTTTTCGTTATCCTATCCTTTCCTTCGAAGTTCTTATTTTATAATAATCGCGCACAAGGAACTCAGCTTTATCATATATTAATCATTGAGTTTATTAGTTTAATCTTGATATTTACTGGCGAAATTGATATCTTGGTAGCATTCCTATTTATTGTCTAATGACTTAATATTTATAAATTTATCAATCAATTTTGGCCAGGGTCAAGTCAGTCAAATGACTAGATTTTGACGGGTCAATTAAAGAAGGGAATATTTGACCTGTCAAATGGTCAAATATTCTATAAGATCTGAATATAAAAATATGTTTGAAAAAGAAAAAACGATATAAACATGTGATCACAATGCTGCTATTTATTGAGTTCCTAATATTAAGGAGAGCATTTTAATCATAGTGAATTTAATGAAGTATGTAATATAATAAAATGATTAGGCATACAAGGTGGTGATCAAAATATTTCAAGTTCAGAAATAAAAGCCGCTTGTTTAATAGAAAATCATGGGGAAAGCAGTAACTTCCATAAGAATCAATCAGATTTCAATCTCAAGCAGTGAAATTAGCTTTGACCACCATGGCCATTAAGAGAAGTGGCATTACTAACATTTCCTAGATCTACTTCAGAAATAAATTGGTCGATTTGTGTCAATAATCTTACTAAAACAGAAATAGATTGAAGATTTAGACAAAAAGAAAATTGTTTAGAAAATATTAAAGAAAATGATGATATTTAATATAAAAAAATATTTATATGATTTTAACCATATTAGACCGGTCAATTGCACAACCGTGGTTTTGGCAGTCACTATTCTTAAACAGTGTAGATGAATAAAGTCTACAACATTACTGTTTAGAATATCAATTTTGAAAGTTACACTTAAGTGAAATAAGAGATTTCCCTAATTTAAAATATTTTTTAATCTTATTATTTTACGATCTTTATAGATATCTTTTTATCTTTTCTGTTTATTTAAGGGAGGGGGGGGCGCGTGATAAAATTTTTAGTATAATATCTCTGCATTAATCTCAATCAATTTAAATATAATATTTTGATATGAGTTCTTATTGAATCTTAAATAATTTTAAAATTTAATAAAAAAAATAGCTACACTGAAAATTAACAAATAATTAATGACATATTTGATAAATTATAACTATTAAAAACAAAGTATTGCCGAAATTTAAAAAAAAAAATTTTTCTCGTCTGGCTGGTGCCATTCCATTTGGTTATAAATTATAAATATTTTCGCCATTCTTTCATCTTTATTTCGGAGTCTTATAAAATATGTTATCAAGCAAAAATTAGGAGATCTTAACCTTTAAAAATTATTGGTTCCGCCTAGATAAAGTAGTCTCAGATACAAATTATTATCGGTTTGACTAAACTGCAAATACTTAGGTAAAAATAGGTAAAATTTTTTGTTATATTCTCTCTTAATTGGAGCGAGGTTCATTTTCTTATTCTATATATAACATATAAAAAATTGTATTCTTAGATATATTCAATAATAAATGATCCTTTAGTATAATTAAATTAAAAATAATTATAATTACATTTTAAATTTCATTAATATTATACCCGCAAGTTGGCGTATTACTATTGGATTACCTACCTTAGCATTTGTAGTTTATTCAAACACCTTTTTAAATAATAATATAATATGATTTTAAAATATATTAAGACAAAGAAAATTTTTAAATTTTTTTCTTAAAATAATAATACGCTTGCGGTTTCCATATTAATGAAATTTAAAATGTAATTAAAATTATTTTTAATTTATTTATATTAAAGGATTTAAACTAATTATTACGAGATAAAAGGAAATACAACTATTAATATCTATACATTTTTTATTGAAAATATCTAATAATATAATTTTTATAAGTTATACATATCATAAGAAATGAATCTTCCTCCAATTAATAGAATATATATCAAAAAATTTTGCCTAAGCATTTGCATTTTACTTTGGTATTTGCAGTTTAGTCAATCCCAATTATTATAGATGCCTTAATCAAGATGTATTTAATTGTCCCGTACGACTTACAAAAAAATGGTAAGATAAAAGATAATAAAGATATACACAATCATCCAGAGAATCCAAGCGAAATGAAAACCAAGAAAATTAATCAATTCAATTGAGAATGAAGCGTTGAATAATAATATGGAAACTCCAAAATTTATTGTGGCGAAACACGTATCTCAATTGAGTGATTCCATATCAATGGCACTACCATCACCGAATCTTATGAAACGTATAATTCACCGAACGCGGAGTTCAAACAGTTATGCACCTCCGAATCCTAGCAGCCTTATTGAGCTGGTAATTCCGCATGAATATTCAATTACAGATAAGTATGAGGATTTCATACTTCATGTTGATGGTCCGGTAAGATTTTCTATAAATTATTTGAACAAATATAACTAAATCCTTTTGCGATAAGCTGCCCAATAAGAAACACTTAATTATAATTGCTTATTTATTTATCATGTGTGCTAGGTTCCCGACCGTGTTATCATATTTGGAACAGGAAAAAATTTGGACTTCTTAGCTTCATGCGAACATTGGTTTTCTGATGGTACATTTAAATCGTCACCACCTTTATTTAAGCAAATTTATACAATTCATGGGATTAGGAATAATAATGTTTTACCTGTCATATATATATTGGCCAATAGAAAGGATTATGAAACATATAAAAGAATATTTACTATTATAGGTGACAACTTAATATCAACTCCAATTTACGGATTTTGAAATGGCCAGTGTAAAAGCTTTCAAGGAAGTGTTTCCCAGTTCGCAACACAAATGTTGCTATTTCCATTTTGGCCAATCCTTTTGGCAAAACATTCAAAAATATGGCAGAAATATAAAACAGATGTGGAATTTAATATACAACTTAGAAAGATGGTTTGTTTGGCATTTGTGCCACCCTTAAATGTAGTTAAAATATTTGAATTACTAATAAACTCCGAATTTTATTCTAATAATCAATTGTTACTTCAGCCTCTAATTGAAACTTTTGAAAAAGCTTACATTGGTAAAACGTTTGGAAGAGGCAGACTACCTGCTTTGTTTAATATTGAACTCTGGAATTGTTACCAATCAACTCTGAACGGGGAAGCGAAAACCAACAACGCGGTTGAAGGGTGGCATAGATGCTTCAGTTCCCTCCTAACAAGTCACCATCCAAACATGTGGAAATTTTTATCGAGTTATCTATATATCTATTATTTTAAAATGATTTAAAAAGTATAAAGATTTAATAAACTATATTTTTTTTTCTTTTTTTTTTTGTATAAATCTATTTGTTTTTTTTTTTTTAATTAATAAAAATATTTAATAAATTGAACGTTAAAAGTAAAACATATATACGTAATTTAAAAAAATATATATATTAAAAATGTCATGTAAACTATAAAATCTGTATAAAAAACTGTATAATAAAAAAAAAAAAAATTAGAATAGTACATTGTATGTTGGGTGGGAGGAGGTCAAGAAAGA